TGTATGAAGTGGTTACAACAATTTATAAACCCCCCACCAAGGTGTGAGGGACCCAGTGATCCACCTTCTCTGCAATAAGTATCGTTGTCAGGCTTCTTACATTTTGTCAGTCAAGTACGTGTAAGTGGCATCTCACTATGGTGTTGACTTGCCTTTCCCCAGCCTCAGATAAGGTTGAGAATATCTTCACACATTGGCTGTGGGTATTTCTTTGTAGAACTTCTTTGCACATTTGTGGTACAAATCCTCTGTCAGCTGTAGGCATTGTAAGTGTCTTCACCTGGTTTGTATCTTGTCTTTCGACTTTCCTAGTCAATGCTGTTTGAGGAGGAGCGTTAACTGCTAATACTTTGCTACGGTGTCCTTCTCAAAAGAACTGTACTTGGCCGAGCGATCTGCCTCATCCGCACCCTGGGGATCAGCCAGTAGCCGATAACCGACTGACGTACAGATAGAAGAGGTAGGTCGGCTCACCTCAAGGCAAGGCTGCTCTGTGGTACAATTCATGCTCAGAACTTCCCGTGGGGTCAGACTGGAGCTGGACTCCCGCTGAAACCACATCCCGGCTCGGCTCCTCCCTCCCTACGCCGCTTTCCTCAGGCCCCTAAACGTTCCTCTGAGAGCACGTCCTCAGTAAATTACTTGCACAACGTTCTGTCTTGGGCCCTGCTTCTAGGAAACCCAGCTTCAGATGCTTTTGGATATCTTCTGGTGAACACCTCTTAATTTTAGAATCATTGGATTTATTAGTCTTTTATAAATTTCCTTTTAAAAAATGTGTATTAATGAATCCCCATGGTCGGAAAGATATCATGATCTGTATTTCCTGTAAAAATTTTAAAATTTTGCTTATGACATTTAAGTTTTCCGTCGTCCTGGATTGATTTTTGTATCTAGTATGGAGCAGGGGTCCAGCGATTTCCTGTAGATGTGAGCAGCCGTTTCGTCCAAGTGAATTGATTGAATTCCTTCCTTTCCCTATCACATATCTTTTTAGAAAACTGATAATTTATTTAACATCTAATAAACACACTTTTGAGTATTTTTTGTATATTAAGGGACTTGTTGGTGTTGGGATAGGAAAATAAAGGAGGCAGCCCCCGCGGCCCAGGGGCCCACTGCACGGGGGTCGGGGGGTGGGGGACGCAGAGCGGGCTCCAGTAGCAGGTCAGCATCTGCCAGCAGGAGTCAGGAAAGACCTTTCAGAGGAAGTGAAACAGAAAGAACAACATTTTCTAGGTGAGAAACGTGGATAAGTCACAGGTTTCCAAATGGGGGAGACACCCTTACCAAAGCACAGACTGTAAACCAGCATGGAATATTCCAGAATGCCCGCAGCTCTGTAGGCACGACAAGCGTGGCAGCAGGCAGGACGGAGCAGCAGACGGTCTACTTACGAAGGCCCCTGGGTCCCCTGCCCTCATGGCTGCCGTGTGTCTCCCCACACACCCCTGCGCTCTGCGGGAGGGAACCATGAGACCCAGCGTGGCCCTAGGACTCCAGCCCTCTGGACACAGGGACTGACCCAGCAGTGGGCACGTGATGCAGACGGGTCCAGTGGATCCTCCCATAGGATTAGTGCATGGATGATGGAAGGAATCCCCTTCAGGCTGAGAGCAGCCGTGTTGCCTGCCACCCCGAGAACCCCGAAGGCAGCAGCAGACAGTGAAGCTCATTCACAGAAAGAAGGAGGAGAGACATAGGGGAAACTCAGGGAAGAAAGTCAGCTGGCCTTGAAGTCCCAGGGCCGTAGCTTGAGGATTGTGTCCTATGGATCTGTCTTCACTTCTGTTAGCCCCCCAGGTCTCCTCTCGGGAATGTAAGACGATCAATTATCCTTTTTGTTAAATATACTGACGTTGAGTGTGATATTCTCAACTGAGAGAGAATTAACTGAGACAGGCTTTATCCTGATGACAAGAGGGAGCCATCACAGGGCTTTTCTCACAGGAGTTTCATGGCTAGATTTGCCTGGTGGAAGTTCCCTGTGGCTGCAAGGTGGAGGGTAGATTACAGGGGTCAAGAACATCGAGCAGAAACAAAAGTGGGAATAAACGGACAGGGGAACAGACACAGAGCAGGATCCCCGTCTGCCCCCTCACCTCCCTCGAGGCCAGCATGCAGCTTTAGGAGGGATTCAAATACCTGTCCGTGCCAAATGGCATAACAACACTTTAGGATACTTGAAGACAAATTGTTGATACGTGATTTTATTCCTGAGAAAAAGACATAAAAATATTTTAAAACTTGTACCTTTGTTAGTTATTATTAGAGATCATCATAAAAAAATTCAAAGATCAAAACATTTTAAGAAAATTGAATTCACCATAGCCCGAACAATTAAAGAAAAATAGCCTGTCTTATCCTTCAGGCTCATAAAAATGTGGAGGTACTGGTTTACAAAATACAATTTAGTCCACTCCCTTTTTAACTAAATATTACACCACAAATAATTTCCCATATAAAATATATTTTGAGTATCCAATTGCTACATTTCGTAGTATGAGTGTATTATATGGCTTAACTGTTAGTCTGTTTTTGGAGACCTTTGGTGCTTCCAATTTTCATAATTTTAAAGAATGCTGCCATAAGCATCCAACATGTCGATTTTTCTGCATTTTAGATTTGGGGTTGGATAAGTTCCTAATGGAATTACTGGGACAGAGGTTATATACATTTTAAGACTCTTTCCACAAGAGAACTTTGCAAATTAGACAATGCGTCCTATTTCAGCAGAATGTGACAAGCCCGACGTGACAGATGACTCTGGTTCCCAGAATTTCACTGTGCTAGTTGGGGCGGGGCAGTCGGGTTCTGCTGCTCTTCTGCGTTCGGAACATAATGTGATGGGCTGATTCCTCTTCTCCCTCTACACAGTTTTTGGCCAACACAAATTCTTCAGTTTCTTTTCCACGGGAACAAAATATTCTAAGAAGCACAGAACTTGAGATTTGGAGTCTCAGCTGAATTTTTCCATGTTTCTTTGAGGCTGAAGCATTTTCCCTTCCTGAAGTTAGGACGTGGTTTCTGCAGCTGCAGGCTTTTTGAGAACTGTCTGTACCAAGAATTGCACACTTGTGATCTCATTTACTCTCTCCCAAGAGCGTTTGAGAATGTGAACAAGACATCACAGAACATGAGGTTTGCAGCCGCCTACCTTGTGCCTTGCAAGGTGGATCCCGGGCTCAGCAACTGCCTTCTGTGTTCCTTGAATTACCTTCTGCAAATTATCAATTTCTCTGAGTTAAAGACACTTTATAAAATCATGGGGATGTGAATGAATGTCTTCCTGGGTGGATATTTTAATAAAACGAGAAGATTCAGGTAAAGCATCGGTACCGTGTCTATCTCTGAGTTCCTCTGAGATTGGAGGCGTGCACGTGGTTTAGTCTGGAAGTGACCCTGGGAGCAGGACGGAAGGTCCAGGGAGGAGAACAGGAAGAAAGGAAACTAGTCCAAGGATGTTATAGAGCTGGTCACCCGTGCAGATGACTGGTGCTCGACCTTCCTTCCTTGCAGTGTCGTGAAATGCATCCTAGAACTCTTTGCTCGAGGGAGAAACGAGGAGTTTTCATTCACCAGCAGCCACCTGCCACTAGTCAAGGGCCGCTGCAGGGCATGCGTTTCCAGGCTGCACATGTTTGTCGGGGGCTCCTGCAGCCATCAGAGAAACCGTCAACAAGGCACGTGAGTGGTTGCAGCTGCACAGAGCCAGCAGGACTGGTCACGACAGTAGCAGTGGGTCAAAAATGGAGTCACGAGAACTTTCCGTGACACACCAGAGGCATCTGTGTTTGTTTCCTTTTGCTGTTATAAGATGTTACCACAGACATGGTGGCTTAGAACAACACAACCTCGTTACTGTACGGTGCTGGAGATCAGAAGTTCAAAACTGGCTCTTCATGGCTAAAATGAAGGTGTCGGCTGGCCCGCATTCCTTCTGGTGGCCTATGGGGAAGCCCACTTCTTGCTTCTGCCAGCGTCTAGAGGCTGTCCCCGTTCCTCGGCTCATGGCTCCTTCCAGCAATGGCATCACTCTGAGCTCTCCTTCTGTAGCACACTTTCTTCTCCGACTCTAACATGCCTACCTGGCTCTGACAAGGACCTTCGTGATTACATTGGGGCCACCTGATAATCTTCCCTTCTCAGGATCATCAATCGCAACTGCGAAGCCCCTTGTGCTGTGTTAGGTAACATCCTCACAGGCTTCATGGGTCAAGACGCAGACACTTTTGGGAACTCACTGTTCTGCCTCCCAGTGTCCAGTACAAGAATCTAGTAAATGTGGATTAGGTTTTCTTCTCTTACGGATCACTGAGTTTCCATCTCCCCACACTCCACCTGGCACAAATTTTGATCAAGTCACATAGGCACTAGGTGGATGGGCAAAGCCACAAATTCACAGCCTCTGGTGCAAACCCACTGATTTTGGAGTCTTAGCAATCAACGGCTTCTTGTTGGACGTGGTAAAGGTCCGTGCTAGCGGTGCTGCGGCTGGCACGAGGGCTGGCATGATTCAGCGCTGAGCGAGAATGAGGAGAAATTCCATGAAAAAGGCTGCACTGGAAGCTCCAACAACTTCAGATTCCATTTCCAAGGTGGTTATACTAAATTGCTTTCAATTCATGGAGAACGAAACTTTCCTATTTATAAGTTGCCAAAAACAGACAACTTTGACTAAATGATAAATTTGCTGAATCTTAAAACACATCATTTTCATCTAAAATCTTGAATAAATAGTGAGAAATATTATTTAGCGTGACTTTTTAAGAGAACAAAACTTTCATAGGTTTTTGGTGAAAATCAACTTGAATAGAAGATATAGGTGAAATTACAAGGGAATTCCTCCAATCTGAATATTCATAACAAAAATGTAAGTTAGGAAAGTAGCTAAAATAAACATTCACATAACCACCACCCAAACAGGGAAGAAAGCACGTGACCAGGGGGTCCATGATCCCACACAGCCTCGAGACCCAGGGCTGCTCTCTGATCCCGTTCCCAGCCCAACTTCCTGAGAGTGATCACTATCCTGAATTGTGGACTTCTTGTTCCTTTGCTTTTCCTGAGAGTTTTGTCAAATTATCTGTGTTTTCCTAAACAGTACATTGTTCATGTTTGGTATAAATGGGAGCATATCCTATGAGTTCTTCTGTCACTCAATCACACCGAGATGTGTACCTTTGGTTGACTCGGTGCTTACTGCTGTGTGCTGAGTCCTAGTGTCAATAAACTATGGTTTACTCCTCCACCCTCTCGCCGTGGAGCCGCTTCCTCTTTGTGATTCTGTCGTTGTTGCTCTGTGTTTGCTTCTCTCTTGGCGACTACAAATCAATGGACATGTTTGTACTGGACTCTTCACACATGTGTAAGAAATTCCCTGAAGAGTAAAGGCAAGAGAGGAGTTGCTTGTTTGTAAGGGAGCTGTATCTTCGACTTTGGAGAGAATTCTGAATAGTTTTCCAAATAGATCATAAGATGTAAACAGTCGCCAAGAATCACGTGGGTTGTTTCATTCTATGTTCTTACCAAGACTCGATATTAGCACAGTTTTAAATACAAACGGTATCTTTTGTAGTTAAATGTATGAAGATTTATTTTACGGTGGTGCTCTTGTGTCTTGTTTATAAACTCTCCCTCTACCCAAGGTCACATAGATTTTCTCCTATATTATCTTCTAAAATTTGATGGTTCTTTTTCAAATTTGAGTCTTTAATCTAACCAGAATTGATTTTTGTATTTAGAGAGAGAGAAATCTAACTTTTTTCTCCGATATAGATAGTGTTTTATCTGGTACCATTAATTGGTAGTCTCTTCTTTACCCAGTGATTTGCTTGGCACATTCTATGTATTGAGTGTCCATGTATTTCTGAGTCTGTTTCTTCTATTTCTATTCTAATTTCATTGGTCCGTTTGTCCCCAGATTGACACTACGCTTCTGTTAGTGCTTTATATGAGGATCTTGATGTCCAGTAGGTCATGGCCCTCACTTTCTGATTTTTTTCCCCTCAGGAGCATTTTGGCTTTTCTTAACTTTTCCTCCTTCATAAAAATTTTAGAATCAAATTTAGAATTTTAGAATCAGTTTGCCAAGTTGCACAAAAGTCTTGGTAAGATTTTCACAGGAGTAGATAAATTTGAGAAAAGCTGATAGTTTTAAACTTTCGAGTCGTTCTAGTCACAAACAGTGCATCTTCCCACTGGTTTAGGTCTTCTTTAATGCTTTTAAATTAAATTTTGTAATTTTTCCCTTAAGTCTTAAAAATCTCTTATACATCCTCTTATATGTATGTACGTGGATAGATACTATTTTGTTATTTTAATTATATCATTTTTAATATTAAATTATCTAACTCTTGTTACTAATCCACAGATATGCAACGGAATTTTATACGATGATATTGTTTTGATCAACTTTGCAAAACTCCCTGTTGAAGTCTAGTAGTTTTGGGTACATTCTTCGCATTTTGTGTGGAAACAATCGGTATACGTGTGCATGATGGTGGAGTCATATTCTTCATTTTCTACACTCATGCATTTATGCCGTCTTGTCTTGGACTTCTAGGAAATCATGGAAAGAAAGCGGCTATGGTGAGCATCATTGTCTGGTGTATATTTTAACATGTCTCTAGTATCTGCCCCTTCCAATTCCAGTTTTGTCCCTCATGCATGTTGAATTTTACTGGATGCTTCTTTTCTACCTATTAAGAAGGTCATGCATTTTTCTCTTTTAATCATATGCTAATACAATGAATTTATGCTAATTTATGTTTTATATTAAACCTACACTGCAGTCTGGGAAAATCTAACCGTCCATGAGGTATTGTATATTTTTAGATCATTGATTTATTCTTGCTAATAATTTGTGAGAGATTTTAGCAAATGAGGGCAAATGATATTTAATTCATTTCTTCTACTATCTTTGATTCTGATATCAAGAATAGTAAGCATTAAAAATTTTGTGCTGTAAATGGAGAGTAAGTCCACTTAAATTGAAATTACTAATATATTCTAATACTACCACCTAATTTTTATTTATTTTCTTGCTTTTTCCATTTTTCCCCATTCTTGCCTCTCTTTGCATTGATTGAGACTTTTCTCTATCCATTATCTTTTAACCTCAAGTTTGAAAATTGTACACTCTATAGCTAGCTTTGTAGTGGCTGCTCTAGAAATGTTTTGCCAAATATCTTTCAAAGTTTAAAATTATCTGTTAGCCCTGCTTTTGAATACTGGTAAAACTTACAGCACTTAAACATCCAGTTTCCATGCTCTTCAAACTATAGGCTGTTTTCATTCAGTATTTTAGTTCTTTTATCTTTATAACCACCTAGGAGTTATATTTTGTAGCTTTATGTAGTCGTTTTTTATTTAACTATATCTTCATATGTCTTTGTGTGTCATACATTTCATATTAGACCTTCCAATAGGGAAAATTTTCCTTCTGACTGAAGGAAATGCCAGTTCTGTCATTTTCTAACTCTGTGACCTTAAACAAATTACTTAACCCTTTTGCGTCTCAGTTTCTTTATACATAAAGTGAGAATAATAATCATATCTACCTTGCATGATTATTGAGAAGATTATATGAGTTGACATGTGAAAAGCACCTAGACAAGTGTCTGGCACCTACTGACAGTCACATGAACGTGTGCTCGCATTATTTTATTGCCATCAACATTGTTAATATCACACTGTTTCTGCGTTCGGATAGGCAGGGCATGCTGCAGGAACAAGCGAGGTCCTAGCGCTTTACAAAGCAAAGCCTATGTTTCTGGTTTTGATTTTGTGTTTCTCTTCACTTCCCCCATAGGTCCTACCAGACTTGGCTCCATCTCTGCTGCGTGACAATTCTCTCCAGGACCCAGGCTAACAAAGAAGACACTACATAGGATATTGCCAGTCGTCCCAGAGAAAAGAAAGAGGGGGCTGGGAGTCTCACTGAGAATTAGATGCTTAGCCCAGAAGAGGTGCTGTCAGCTCCCTGCACCAATCACTGGCAGAGTCGTTCCCCTAGCGATCCAGCAAGCATGTTCTTACCACGAGCCAGGAAGTCAGAGAGTGGGAAAAGTTCAATGATCAGCACTGATGAATAACATATCATCTTTTGTCGTTTCCTTTTATTTTTTGTCTTAAAATTGTACTTGCTTATTTCCTGCATTCCTGCTCTAACTACTTTGGCCTCTTAGGAGTCCTTATTTTCTTGCCACTCCAATGATGCATTTAAAAGTTTTATTTCATATTTTATTTATCGGATTTTTGGCTCTTTAGATGGAGGTTGTTCTGCGTGTCTGGCCCATCGCACTAGAGCGGAGGAAAGGGAAATTTCCCCACTCACTCTCAGTGGCTTAGAGAAACTGACCAAGGCACAAAGGAGCCCCCTTTCTGTGGGGTTCTGCTGTCTAAATGTCAAGAGAACCAATCTCATCCTGTTTTTCGCTAAATAACTCTGCAGCCGTAACAAGTCACCCCCCCTCCCCAGGTCTGCCTTCCTTACCTACAAAGCGTGTAGATTGGTGTGAATGACCTTTAGGGTATGCCCGACACAATATTCATTTAGTGTTTATTTCACTGTAGATTATGCATTTTATAATGACTTTTTAACAAACTCAAATTCCAAACTCAACGATCCTTCTTCAGTGGCAGGCCTGCTGCCACTTAAAGGTTTTCACGGCAGCTCTTGACTTAGAAACGCCAACAGAGGACAGATCCTTGTCCTCTTCTCGCATCCTGTAGACGTGCAATATAAGCACAGAGAAAAGAGGTGTGTCTGCTTCCACGTGGTTCCTTCGCTGCTGGGGAGCTGGGGTGGCCTCACCTCCCTCCTGCAACCCTCGCAGCAGAGCACATGAAGGGCACCAGGACGTTTCTTACACAACTAGAGGAGCAGAGAGGCAGTTTGGGAGGGTTCAATCCAGCCTTCGAGAAAGCTCTGGGCACCATCCAGTCAATTCCCTGGACCCTCTCTGCCTACCCCGCATGTCATAGTAGATACCAAAGGAGAAGGAAAGCACAGCTAACATGACTGTGAAAGGCCACCATGTTTGTCAACATGTAGGTATTTCCCCTCATGATTACGTTCAATCCTCACAGCCATCCTAGATGTGGGTATTATTAGACCCTCTTTTGGAAGAGGACTGAGAGGCACAAACGACATTAATAGGTTCAAGACTTCACATCTGAACTGCACTGTCAGAAGAAGGTAAGAGTCATCGTTAGTGAAAGTACCTGAGAGAGAGAAGTCTAAGCAAACAGAACTCCTTGCCTCTCAGTATCAGTAGTGGGTTCGTGAGTGAGGTGAGAGCCCGTCTGTCCAGGGCAGAGCATCCATGGGGGCTGGACGCACTCTCTGACTCCTGAGGCAGGAGAGCACGGCCTCTGAACCCAGGCAGGCAGGCTGGGGTAAGAGCCCCAGACCTGACAGTGTGATGTTGCAAATCCGTTTGCTTTTTCTTTTAACTTCTCTTTGACGTGATTTTAGATTTAAAGAAAGTTTACAAGAATAGTACAAAGACTGCCCTTAAACCTTCTCCCAGAGTCCCTAAATGTTAATGTATTTCCATGTTTGTTTATCATTCACACACACACACATTTTTCTCTGAACCATTTAAAGGCTACTGACATGATGACCGTTAATAATTCAGTGTTTATTTTCTAAAAACAAGTACATGCTGTTACATAATCATAGTACAATTACAAAATCAGGACATTAACACTGATGTAATTCTGTTATCTGACCTTCAGCTCCCGCTCGTACTTCTCCACTGGTCCCTATGTTGTCCTTCATATCAAAAGAAAACCCTGGATCACCTGTGGCATTCAGTCTTTGTTTTTCATAACATTGACATTTTTGAAGAGAATGAGTCAGATATATTTTAGAATGTCCCTCATTTTTAGTTTTCTCATGATTTGTTTCAGCTTTGCATCTTTGGCAGGATTAGCCTGCATGTGATGTTCTATTCTTTTCCATGCATGAGGTCAGAGGAACACGATATTATCTGTCCTATTTATGTAGATGTTAACTTCAATCACTGGTTAAGATGGCATCTGTTAGTTTTCTCCACTGTGAAAACTATTTTTCCATTTGTGATCAATAATTATCTTACGAGACAAAAATTTGGGGTCTAGGCAAATAATGAAGTCCCATCAATGTTTCACTCACTAGTTTTATCATCTATTTATGATTCTTCCTTTAATCAGTGACTACTATGATGCTTGCCAAATGGTGATTTTTCTAATTTCATCGTTCCTTCATCAATTATTAGATGGCCTTCCCATCCAAGGAAGAGCTTTCGCTCCTGCTTCATTTATCTATTTGCCTATTTATTTGTGTCATTCCATGTACCTGTGTAGACTTCACAGTGCATGTTTCTTAACCTTCATGACCCTCAGTTCTTCCTCTGTAAAACGGCAATGATAATATTTACCATCTAGACTTGCCATGTAGATTAAATACGTTAATATATGTAAAGTTCTCAAAATCATAACATCAATAAATTGGGGCTATTTGTATTAGTAATAATAATAATTGTCTGACTCTGTCTTTTCATACAGTGAGAAGATTGAGGTGCCATCTTACTTCATTACTTTATGATCTCAGACAATTCATTTAACCTCTCTCGGTCTCAATTTTCTCACCTCTAAAACAAAGGAGTTCAGTAAAATGGCCTCTAAATTCAAGTACAGTTCTAGTGTGAGGACCTAAGATTCTGTACCTGTAAAACATTAGCATACGAATCCTTTTCCTTCCAACCAACCGTCAAATATTCTGTAATAACTTTGCAACATGAATATCCTCCATAATTCTTAGTGTTCTTCCAAAATTTCAAAGGACGTATATTTTGTCTCTGAATAAACAGTTTGAGTGTTCCATTTAATCATTTAATCACTTTACATTTTACTAACATTAGTTGGTCACAGCTATTCTCCAACTATGCTGATAATTTTTAACAAAACATGAAATAGCTAAAAACAGATGGCTTGTAGCTCTGACTGTTGGGGTTTATTTTCCTCTGCCAGCAAGGTCTGTGATCTGACAACAGACTGCAGCCTCAGACCACATGATGGCTCTGATTTGCATAATAGAGAAGGAAGAATTCAAACTTTCTAAATTTCTTTCTAAAACCTATAAGTCACATCATGAAGTGTGACCAGTATATAGATTGGAATTTTCTTATAGGTAGCCTTGCAGAAGTCTTTGCACATTGTGGAAATGAATATATTAATGGAAAACCAGTAAATGGATTAATCTCATTATTAAACATTTCCCAGAGGAGAGATCGTCTGGGGTAGTGGAAAGAGCCCTGGACTTGAATTTTGAATATCTGAGCTTAAATCTGAGTCCTTACTAGTCCTGTGAGCTGGGGCAAGTTATGTAAGTTCTCTGAGTTTCAGTTTCTTCAGTGTCAAACTAAAATAATGTGACACATCTCCTAGATACATGTTGAGAAGAAAGTCAGTCAGTCTCAGTGAAAACACCTAGCACATGATGAGTGCTTAACCAGTCCTCTTCAACGAGTGTGGAAGAAAAACCGGAGGGTAAACACGGTCCAGGATGGCCACACAACCATCTTTAGCATTTTCTACTATTTCAGCAACTGAACCTGGAAAGTCAGGAAGTACTGTCTCCCAGTTTGAGCGTCTGAGGACCCTCAGAGGACAGACCTAGCACAGTCGCAGGGAGATGCAGCACCATCACCTGACGGGACGCAGTCCTGAGTTTGGGGCCTCATCTTGAAGACCGTAAATCTTACAGAAACTTCCAAGTATCTGTATTTTTAAGTACTTCCCAAATGAATGTGATGTTTCAGACTCCCTCTTCTAGAATTAAGAATAATGGAGAGCATACCAACCTAGCCATCAAATCAAGCCACCAAGTGAGGACCAGGGCTAGAGGCACGTGATCAGCTACCAGGAGTGACCATTGGCCTGAATACTGGTACTTAGTTCCCAATACCTACAGGTACTTAGATGAGTTACTTCACGGTGGAGACTCCAGGCTCAGAACCAAATGACCTGGGTTCATTTCTGGACTCCATCATTTCCTAGCTGTGGAACCTGGCTTGTTACAGAACATCCCTGAGTCTACTTCTCATCTCTAAAATGAAAGCTGTCGTGAGCTTAGATGAGGTCATCTGGGGAAGCACCCAGCGCAGTGCTGGCACAGAACAACCACCGAGCGAACGTAAATTGTGTGACTGTCCGGAACTCCTCAGGCACTGCGCACAACGGTGCCTCCACACACGCTGGTTCCCGTGCATGGAAAGCTTTTCGCACACTCCTCTGCTCAGTGGGCTCCTCCTCATCTCTCACGATTTAAGACCCTACATCAGAATGCCATTCTCTGCAGCTCTGTCGGTGAAATCCTTCCCACCGTGCAAATCCTCTCAGAAGAAAGTCCTGATTGCCCACAGTCCTAACTGGTCTCCCCATTTCCCATCCTCCCCCACACAGACCACAGATATTCATCAGAACTGACCTTAGAGCCGTGGGTCTTCCTCACACCTGTGTCTTTATTGCTCTGCTATTTTCTCTCTAATACTTTCCTTGGGTGAGCTCTTGCTTTCTCTTGTCTTCAGTTCTGCATGTTGATGATGCCCAAATCTACATCTCAAACTTACACTGTTCTCCTAAGCCTAAGACCCACACAGCTAACAATCCCCCCAAAATAGCCTTTTATGTGTCCTGCAAACACTCCAAATTCAACAAAAGAAGTAGGTGATTTTCCAAAGTTACAGAACTAAATTGATTTTAAACAGAAGACCTTGGTTCCAAGTCCAACACTTACTCAGCATGCATTGTGCTGTATGAACGTGGGCACAGTCACTGAAAGGATCCACAGTAGGGACAGCCCAGTTTCTCCAATCCTAAAGGAAGGCAGGCAAGATCAGAGAACTGTGGACAGCCTCCTGCTTAGGGCTGTTAAGAGGAGAGAGCAGTCCTCACCTGAGGCCCCCTCACTCTCCGTGCTGGAGACCTGGCCACCTGTTCACACACCAGACAGTGGACAAGGAGGAAGCAGCCACGCCTTGGTACTCACCATCTGATGGTGGGTTTTCTGAGTTTAGATGTTTGTTATGCAGAATCTTTACATAAATTAATCATCCATACTCTAAATCAGGGGACATTTGACAATTTCTGGAGATATTTTTGTCAGGACT